GGTTCCTTTGTAAGTGCGCATGCGCCATTAGCGTGCTGCCTGCTGTAACCCTAATTTCCTTCGGGATTAATAAAGTGTTCTGATTCTGATTTCTCTTCTCTATCTTCTCCCATGTCTCTTTTGTCATCCCATCTTTCTGCTCCCTCTTCTTCTTCCCCAGGACTTTGGTGTTTGCCTTCCAGGTCTTCTGTATTTCTGTCCAGGGCTTCTCTGTTGTCTCTTCGAGCAGATCCCCCAGCACCTCAAATCTGTTCCTGACTTCACAGTTGAACTCTTTTGCTTGCTGTCTTTCAAAAACTGTATGTTGAACTTGTGATGTGGTCTCCCTGAAGAGTCGCAGAAGAGTCTCAACTTGGTCTTCAGTGTTGCCACTAGCAACAGTCCCAACTCTCCCAGACCATAATACAGTTTTATGTATACTGAGGTGTTTTCATAGTGTTGCAATAACAACGAAAGAGGATGTGTGTTATATCACAAGACTGATCAATTTGTTTAACTAACTCGTTTACACGAGGCATAGAGGGCATAGGAGGCGTGTATTTTTCTTGAAACAACAACTGTAATCTCCACATTTCAACCTCTTTTCTCGAAATGATCAATAATATATTTTTCTTAATGTAGCCCCGAGCCCTTTCGTGGGGAAGTGAGCCGTAGTGATGTGGTGGAGAAACGGCCACGCCTGCGATCTGACGTGACGCTAACTGAGAGCAGACCGTCAGCCCCGTTCCTGTGGGTCACATGACAGGCCAGCCTTCGACTGAGCTGAAACACGTCCCATAACCATGGTAAGCACTTCACCGAATACCGACTTTAGTGCAGCGTTGTGCGTTCCGAAATTAGCCCGTGTGAAGTTTTGACCGCTGGAAAAACTCATTTCGACTGTGTAACGTGATTTGATCTACGTCACCTACGTGAATGGTCCTTTGGCCTAGCTCAGCGTTTGACAGCAGCTAGCTAAGCTAACTAGCAGCCGACTGAGGGAAGCTATCGAGCAACTGCAACATTTGTGTTTGTCTTTGAAACACTCATCGTGCTCCTGTATACAGTGTGATATTTGCAAACAAAGGCTGCGGTAAACATCAATATTTCTGACGCAAATTAAAGACTGTACAGTTAGGTTTTTGTTAGCGTCGTCTTTCGCTTTGCTGTGTCATATTTTAATGTAAGCGTATAAATGTTGTGGTTGACTCCGACTTAGAGTAACGGAGCAGGACGCCTGTGTGGTGCACACACACGGAAGTGTCGTGTGAGATTGTGCAGGCGAGCTAAACACCTGTAGCAGCTTCTTTGGTCTGATTCAGTCGTTTCTGTAAAACTTTTCTTCAATTCACGGACGGTCACTGTCTCTGCGAGGCGAGGACGAGCCTGCCGTTAAACCTGATTAGGAGTTACAGCCATCCAGCTAGTCGGCCGTGACTTCAAACACGCAAACAAATCTGACTCGTGTTTTGGATTTAGACACGGAAACAGCAGCTCGGGAGTCTGCTGAACTCCTCAGGCTGCTCCGTTTTTTCCTTTCTCTCTTCTGGCGTTATACATCATCAGACAAGTCAAACTTGAGTTCTTGCTTTTTATGCTGTTGCATGAGGAAAATCCTGCTCGATCAATCAAGGAGTGCTATAACTTGTATTTCCATCCTCTGCTGCAGCCAGCAACACAGCAGTCACCCCAGGACGAGCAGGAGAAGCTTCTGGATGAAGCTGTGCAAGCTGTCAAGGTCC